ACCTAATTACACCAGTGGCAGTGGGTCAAGCAGCAGTAAAAATGAAAGTGCAACTCAAAAAATCAGATCTTTGCATGACATTTATAAGGTTCATCATGCATTTTTCATTTCTGATCCATGAACTTTTTATGAGGCTTCAGAAAAAGAAGACTGGTACAAAGCAATGGATGAAGAGATAACATCCATAGAGAAGAATCACACGTGGCATCTAATTGAGCTTCCTGAAGGTAAACACTCAATTTGTGTAATATAGGTGTTTGAAACTAAGTATCATGCAGATGGAAGCATTCAAGAGTACAAGGTAAGTCTGGTGGTTAAGGGATATGCATAAAAGTATGGAGTGGATTATGAAGAAACTTTCTCTCCAATGGAAAGGTTTGACACTATAAGAACTCAACTTACATCATGAATCATGGCAATATATCAGTTTGATGTTAAGTCAGATTTTTTGAATGGTGAGATACTTGAAGAGGTTTATGTTGATCAGCCTCAAGTTTTTGTGGTTCAAGGCAAAGAATGATTGGTTTACAGGTTGTATAAGGCATTGTATGGGCTCAAACAAGTTCCTAGAGCCTGATACAACAAGATTGATTATTTTTTTTGCAAAAGCTGGGTTTGAAAGATGCAAAAGTGAGCCTACTCTTTACATAAAGAAGAAAAATGGAGGTGGTGTCCTTATTGTGTGTTTGTATGTAGATAATCTGATTTACATGGGTTCTAGTGCTTCACTTGTTGCTGATTTTAAAGAATACATAATAAATGAATCAGATTTGTTGAAAAGGTTCAACATGATATATTGCAATGTAGTAGAGACTCCTATGAATGTGAATGAGAAGTTGTAGATGGAAGATGGAACAGAAAAAAAAAATGCAACAAGAAGTATTTATGCAAATGCATTTCGGTGCGTTCCCACCGGGGCCGACCGGATCAGCCGATAGGGTTTATCAAAAAAAAAAAAAAAAAAAAAATGCAACAAGAAGTAAGAATTTAGTTGGATGTCTTATCTATCTAACTCATACAAGACTAGGTATTTCTTTTGTTGTGAGTGCAATTTCCAGGTTTACGCACAGTCCTACAAAACAACATTTTGGAGCAGCAAAGAGGTTATTGAGGTATATTGCTGGAACAGCAGAGTTTGGTCTATGGTACAATACAAGTTCAGAGTTTGAATTGGTTGGATTCATAGATAGTGATTGGGCAGGATGTGTTCAAGACAGAAGAGCACTTCAGGACATGTTTTCAATATGGGTTCTCGAGCAGTTTTTTTGGAGCTCAAAGAAGCAGAATGTGACAGCTTTATCATTATGAGAAGCTGAGTATACAATAGCTACTTCATTATCATGTCGAGCAGTTTGGTTTAGAAGAATTCTAGCAGATATTAAGCAGGAGCAAATGAAGGCAATAACAATTTTCTATGATAACAAGTTAACCATAGCAAGGACCAATAATCTAGCATATGATGGAAGAACAAAGCATCATATATCAATCAAGGTATATATTGGAGGGAAAATGATCATATTTCTTAGAAGACTTTTCCATCAATAATCTAAACTCTTCAACACAATTTAGACCACACCTACCTCCTTAAGTAAAAAAGAAATATTATAATGGGAATTCTCCACTAAATCAGGAAAAAAAAATTATATTCGAAATATGAAGGATAAAGAAAAAATAGTTCACTACAACCGACTCCCAAAATCTTATAAATAAAGGACCTTGGACAGCTTGGAGATCAATCCAAAATACCAAGAGAGCAGAAGAACAAGATCTAAAATTCCAAGCTTTCTAGTTCATTACTCTTAGAACTCATAATTCACTTCCGTAAAGCTTCTAAGTCACACCGTTTTTGTAATCATTTAGCTTTTCAGCTCTAATAAAGATCTATTCTCTGAAATCCACAACTGACTATTTCTTATTCTTATTGGGTGATATTCTGGTTCAACTGTATATTTCATCGAAGACTTGGTTAGTGAAAGTTCAGTTGTTTTGGAGTATTACAGTACAAATGAGCAAAATGCAGATGTGCTAACAAATGCATTGTCCAAAAATAAGTTTGATTACTTCAAAAGCAAGTTTCAATCAAGGGAAAATGTTGAAATATGATTCAACTTAAAAGTTATTAGGTTAATTGAAATAAATTACAAATCGTTTCAGTGTCTATTTGTTTGCTTGGTTACTTAATCAATTTGAGAAATTTATTTTTTAATTATAAAACTTAATAAATTCATAAGATGATGGATACACTTAAGCAAGTTTCAATCAAGGGAAAATGTTGAAATATGATTCAACTTAAAAGTTATTAGGTTAATTGAAATAAATTACAAATCGTTTCAGTGTCTATTTGTTTGCTTGGTTACTTAATACATTTTTCACTATATAAAAAATATATATTCTTTTATTTCCAGTCATCAAAAAATAAAATAGTGTTCAATAAAGTATTTTTCTTTTATTTTTATACTTTGCTTTTTCTATTTTATACATTATTTATCTTATTCCAACATACAAAACCCTACAAATACTAAACCCTTTATATAGCTTAGACCTAACTTATAACCTAACTGGAATTTGGGAATCTTCCTTTGTGCTGTCGATTTACAGGTTTTTGTAACATGTTTCTATATATTATTTTGGCTTATATATATATATATAAAAAAAAAACAATATCTTCAATAAAAGTATGTAATTTGCAAGGCGCGGTTTATGATCTTTTAAAAGAAAGAAATGCTAGGCTCCCCTCTTTCAATCTCAAAGCCGTCTTACTCAAGTTATCTGAGAGATTGGTTAGGTTATAAGTACGCAGCAAGCAAGCTAGTCTCAATCGTCCTTTCACCGCAAGGTCAGCTCCAATCAACTCAAGCTGACTTGAATGGTCTTTGTGTTCCACCATTCTGCCTCTAAGCTGGTTTTTTTATTCAATTTGCTCTGCATTTTTTTTTTGTTCATCTATCTACATACTTGTTGCAACTACTTTTTCATCTTATAGCTCTAAATGGTATCTTTGTAATTAAGGGGAGAACAAAAATGAAAGATGGGCATAGATAATCATCTCTGTTTCTCTCATTTCACGCAGATTTTGAACAATATGAAGTACATAAATCTAATATTTGATCTAACATTAAACAGAGAGACAAACAAAACAGCTTTTGGAACAATTTCGTTTCTTTAAGTTTTAACAAAAGGAAGAAGACACAATCGAAATCATTCTGTTTTCAAGTTGATGTTCTTCATTTTCTTGGAAAGAAAGACTCTAATAATAAAGCGAACCTGCAAAAATGGCGGGAAATGTTAGAAAGAATATAAAGAAAGAGGTGGGATTGTAAAAAAAATAATAGTTATGTTAGAGAATATATGCCTTGCCACCAGTTTCCTCTGGATGCGTCCTGCGAGTTGTTTCCACTAGCGTCATCGTTTTCTCTGGGCTGAGCCTTGTTAACCTAATTGATTTAGCATTTTGACAAAGTCAAGTATCTATCTTTACTTTGAATTCTGAAACAGTCAAAGATTAATATGATCGATATGAATCATTAGCAACTTAGATATGTGATCATGACTCACGGTAGGGTAAGTATGGTTGTTTGTGGATCCAGAGTAAACGTCTTGACCACCGTAGTAAAGAGATGAACTTAGATTGCAAGTTGCAGATTCTTTAAGTTGGTCTGTGAATAAACCACAAAAAACTTGATCGACTTAAAACCAAACCAAATACAAGCAACTTGAGCCATTCTTGAATCAAGAATGACATGTTTTCAAGATGAATCGCGGACAAAACTTGGCTATTGAATATAAAGCAAAAGGAACCAAGGAAGTAACCAAGTCCCAAGAAAAAAAACAGTTAGGAAAATGGTTTTCCACTGACCTAGGGACCCATGTTTGGAACTTAAAATGTTTCTTGATGCTACCTGAAAACTCGAAAAAAAAAAGAAGAATGAATTACAAGAATCAATGAGGAAAGAAAAAAACAGAAGGAACTAATGGGGTAATAATAAAACCTTGGAGTGAGGAGGGAAAATGGAGTTGAAGTTAGAGGAGGAAGAAGGGTCCTTGGGACCAAAGAGTTGAGCGGTGAAGGAAGAAGAAGAAGATGATGATCCTAATTTTCCTTTACCTTCCATTATTAATTTCTTTTTGCTAGAGAGATGTGTTCTTAGGAGTTAAGGCTAATGAATTTTTGATGATGGTAAAGAACCAAGAAGAAGATAGTCTGATTTGATGAGGTGTGTATCCACAACAAGATTAGTGAATATATATAGAGAATTAAAGATGATGCTTGCAACTATGATCACGTGTCAAGTCAAATAAAAACTAATTTTTAACCACTTTAGATTTAGTTAATTCGGTTTGCTTTTTTCCAATTTACCAAGTTAGATACAGTATAGTGTTGATTTTGTTTTTCTAGTCAAATTATTCTTGGATGTTTGACAAATCTTTTAGACATATCTATACTGAAAATGTCAAGGGATCGAGAATATTTACCACTTCTATATGTTTCCAACCTTTCTTGATCACGAAGAGCCAACCATAATTTCAAGTATAGATTATTTTCAAAAAAAAAAAGATTAAGCGGCGGGAAGATCTTAATGTCATTCTCAAAAGATTTCACCAGTAATGTCACATTAAAAGAATGGTCAAATATCTTTGATCCCCAAACTAAATATGTTCTCCTTGTCTCGTCAAGTGGATGCCATGATGTATACTTAAATTTCTTGATTTTTCGACAATAAGGTGAGGATAATGTATAATAATACAAAATGACCACATAATAATATTCGAGATACCCTTAATGGATTTGGTCATGTGTGTTAAAAAAAAAACCAACATGGCCCTTACTTTGCAGATTTTTTTAATAGTTTTAACATATATAATCTCTTCGCTTTTTACGGGTCAAAGAAAAAAAAACCCGTGAGCGCAATGATTCGAACCTGCGCGGGCAAAGCCCACATGATTTCTAGTCATGCCCGATAACCACTCCGGCACGCCCACAAGGAAAAGAATCATCTGCTAAATCAATGTTAATGAATCTCTACCAAACTGTTCATGAGGATACAATGTAGGTAGAGACTAGAGAGGACCCTTTGAACAACCTGAGAGGCCAGAGAGAAATGTGGAAAAGTTCTCAACTTGGAAACTTTTCTAAATAAGATGATCGTTTCACAAAAGTTCGGTCTTTGACTGATATTATGAAGCATCAGAACAAGGAATATAAGTCTCTACGTTATCTGGGTTCGTCTAACTAACAAAAGTCTGTTTTCCTTGTGATGAAGCATCTACTGATTTCATTTCCCCCACTTGCTCAGATCTGTTTGATACTTCTTCAAGAGAACACATTCTGGATCTTGATCAAGATTGACTTCCCCTGTTGATATTATTCAGAGCCTGCAAAATGCACACAAGTCACAACATGAATATCACTCGCAGACCTTTCCTGTTGATATTGTTTCACTGTGCAATTCAAGATTCATATTAATCTACAATAACATATGGTTTAACTACTTCGAACTGCGCAAAGACTGAAACTTTTATAAGTTGAATAAAACACAAAAAACAATTTGGGGAAACACTGAGATAGAAAACGCAGAGTCTTGTGCATACACACCTCAACATCTACCAAATATCTCCTCTGGTGGATCATAAGAATGTTTCTCAGGGAACAACTCCTCGAAGTCTTTCTTCACTTTGTTTCTGAGAAGCGGATGCGGCAGAAGCCCCTTCAACAGAACCCTAAAGGGCAACTCTTCTGGCGGATCTGGAGATTTTAACATGTCTTCATACACATTCATGGCATCAGCGGGACACCCGTCTCTCAGAAACCCTCTGATAACCTCAGTATAAGTCTGAGAATCCGGAAAGAGGTCTTCTTTCTTCATCTTCTCCCACAAACCCATTGCTTCATCCATTCTTTTACTCTTTGCTAAGGATACTATAAGGTCCTTGTACATAAACACATCGGGTTGGTACCATTCCTGCTTCTGGATCACCTCGAACATCTGTAAGTTCAAGAAGCCAAATCATTAACAACACAATTGAAATTCCATAAGCTAAGAGATACAAAAGAAGCAAGACACAGAACCACGATAACATAATTCATAAAGGAAGGTAATAAAACTTCATGAATGAATTATCAAAGTTAAGCACATAACGATCCTAATGTCAGCTCTGTTTCAGGCATTTCATCGAACAGTTCACGAGCACCTTCATAAAACTACGCATCTAACAAAAATTGACCACATTTTGTAGAACAGCAAACACCAAAAACCCCTGAGAGAAGTGGAGAAACCACCTTGATAGCTAGCGCAGTCTCTTCTTGTCGTTCAAGCTCGCCGATAACAGCTAACATGTCTAACTTCAACAATCTGAAAACATGGGTCTTTATAAACTTCTCCAGCTTCTCGTCGTCTTCCTTCAGTCTCTTAAGACCCAGAATCACGAATAGGGCCTCTTTTCCGATCAGCTTCTTCCCTCTCCAGAGAGGACCCCTCGGCCTCCCGTCGTGGAACTGAGCGACAAACACCGTGAAGGGTTTCGGCGAGACCGGGAGTAGCGTCTTGGGCTTTAGATACGAGAATGAAATTCGATGTATTGCCGGATTTCTAGTCAGGCTTTGGAAGAAAATCGAAGCAAAAGTGGGGAATTTTCGCGAGAAGACGCGAATTGCAACCATCTTTCGCTCTCAAACTCTCAGGGTGTGTGAATAGTCTCTCCTTAACATAAACTCACAACGGTAGATAAATATGCTAGACGACGGCGTTTTTAAGGCTTCTTTTTATTTAGTTCTTTTTCGTCAAGGACTTTGTTCAAGACAACAGCGTTCTAAGACTGTACAAATAAATAAATAAATAAAGAGAAGTTGAATACTGATTGCAAAATAATTATTGACATTTAATCACAATGTTTATATAAGATCGGAAACAATAATAGACAAAGCACAGATGATTAGACGTTTGTGTGAGAGCTTTTTATTTTATGATGAAATTTCAAATTTATTGACTATTGTATGAGTGAATTTTTACATCAAAAATGAAAGTATAACAGAACATAATCATAGAGGATAAAAAAATAAAATTAATACTTATTTTTTATATTTTTTTTTATAACCAGTGATTTGGGTTATTCTATTTAGACCATCAGCATGGAGAGTCTTTCACACAATCTTTCACAATATAATATTAATAAATTTAGAAAAAGAGAAGAGAGATGAAAGAGAGAGTCGACTATGAGAGACCAGAAACTCATCTTATATGTGTCTACATTTCATTGGTCTAAACTTTATTTATAATATAAAATTAAATTATCTAATTAAATTATATTAAAAATATTATTATTAAATTGATGAGAGATTCATGTGGATCTCTCACCAATGCAGATGCTCTTATCATTCTAAAGTAATTATAGTCGTCGAGTAGCACATTTACCAAATTTTTCATTAGGCTTAAAGTATGACACTATTTCGACTGGTCAAATGAAAGTGATTTAAATAATTTTATGTTTAATGGGAATCAGTCTTTAACCTAAATCAACATGGTAACTCTTTTTAAAATAGAAATTACTAGACCACCATCACTTGATTAACTAATACTACAGTATTCTTAAAAATTTAGTAAAGAGATTCTACTGTCCATAGCTTTGTCAATCATACGAGTCATCTACTGAACGGAACCCAACTTATCTGATGATGTCGATCATTATGCTTCCGCCATATATTATACACTACAGTTTGGAACCAGGGCCGGTTCTGGGCCAAGCCAAATGAGGCTTTTGCCTTGACTCTTATTTCTCACTGGCCCAAAAATGAAATTTTTTTGAATGTATATACAATAATTTGTTTGGTTTTTGTTGGCCCATTAAAGTTTTTAATAGTTTTTTACTAATGTTATATGATTTTTTTATATGAAGCCTACTTTTATTTATTAAAACAAAAAAAAAATTTGAGTTGACTCTGGCCTCCAAAATTTCATGACCGGCCCTGTTTGGAACAGAAGGCAAACAAGGATGTAGTCCATTGTTCTGCAACGTACAGTGATAAGAAAAGCCATGGTACCATCTCAATATAGAGTGGCCAATATTTTAAGCAACATCCCAGCCAGAACCAAGAAAAACGTATAGGTGTATAGGTAAGCGAAAAACAGATGATTCCTTGTTTCGTCTCTTTCCCCTCACATAGAAGACAAGCTTGCTCCTGACCCCAAACCTGCATTTGAACTCTTGTTGTTAATCTGTCTCTAATGTCAAGCCATGTGATGAAAGAGTATCGGGGTATACTTTGTGTAAACCATATCACCTTATTATATGAGTCAATCATCTTAGTTGTGAAAACTCGTTTGTGGCGTACTTATCGCTGGAACACTAATGAGGAAACTATTGAGGCTCGGCCAGATTTTGTTCCAAAAGAGCAATGGCAGGATTTTGTGCATTTGCAATTCATTGATAAAACTAAGGTATTGTAAATGCATTTTATTCAGTAGAATATATTTGTAAATTGCTAATATTATTACAACTGATTTGTAGAAAGTAAGAGAGCGAAATATGAAAAATAGGAGTCATTACAAGATACCTCATACTTTAGGAAAAATCAGCATTTCTCAAAAATTTAAAGACATTGTAAATATTTTTTAATAACTAGATGGTTCACATAAATCTTATTACTGATTTCTTTTGTTATTTCTTTAGTTTCTCAAGACAGGTAAACGTTCAACTCGAGCAGAAAATTTTATTTGTTCACGCCAAAAGGCTCATGGAAGCTATGTTAATGAAGAAGCATGAGAACTATCAGTAAGTTTTGTCTCTTCATTGTCTTTGATGCTTTGTGATTAGCTGCTCATGTCTGTTGTTTGGATGATGAGATTGAATAATGAAATTGTTTTAATGCTTTGTTATTATCTTTTTGGTTAGTTTATCTTTCCTATGAACACTTTATTTTTTTATTTTAATGAAAAACTTGATGGTATAAAGACTCAAGATACATCAAGTATGCAGGTCCAGCCTAGATGACAGGCAGGCTAAGCGGCTGCTTAGAATCATCATTTTTTAATTTTTTTATAGGCCACATATATATTAGAAATAATAGGTATAGTCCACATACATTAAATTTTGAAATCCATATGTTTAAAAAGGAAAAAAATTACAAATATTAATAAGAAAACCTAATTTTATTATTAAAAATAAAATTATAAAGAGAGCCATATTTTTTTTAGCTTTGCACCACCAAATGTGATTGGATTTGAACGTCCTAGACGTATTCGTTGTGTTGGCCTTGGTCTTACTCTTTCAACCTTCTTTCAAAATCATCCTACAGCCGATGAAGCTGAAAATACTTGTTTGAAGAACAATTGGGAAAGTTGCATGATATTGTTTATCGATTTGTTAACTTGGATGGTAAAACTAGAAGGTAAGCTAAACTACGTCAAATCTATCTATGTTCAATTTTAGTCAAAACATCACTAGTTTATATTCATTATGTTTCAGGGATTAAGGATGAGACAAGAGATAGATCAATAAGAAGCGAACTTGAACTTGAGCTGCAAATTTTAAAAAAATCGAATAATAATATATTTTAGAATTGAATATTTTAAGATAGTCATGTTTTTATGGTTGGTTATCAAATTGTAAACAAATATTCATTTGTTAAATTTGATATATTTAAATTTTTTGTTATTCATATATAATCACCAATATTTATTATTATAGTATCCTAATTTTAAATATATATAAATTAATTATTAGTTAAGAAGATCTAGTGTCATTTATAAAAATTGATTCTAAAGAAAATTTAGCATCACTTCAAAAATGTAATGCAAAATATAATTTTGCATCACTTTATAAAATAATGTTAAAATAAGGATGCTAGAAATAAATTTTAGAGTTAGTTACAGAAGTGATGTTAAATATTTTTAGCTTCAACACTTTTAGCATCACTTTTTAAATTGATGTTAAAATTCTAACATCATTTAAAAACTGATGCTAAACTAAGAAAAAACTGATCCTAATTACATTATATTTTGTAGTGAGAAGGCTTGATAGACTATTTCTTAAGGATAGTTAATCACTTGATTACTACTGAAATATTGATTAGTTAAATTCTTAATAAATGGATTAAGATCATGAAAATAGATTAGTGTGATCTATGCCTTTAGACTGTGCTTGACTGAGCATGCTAGCATCATTATTTAATCATTGATCACATCTAGTCATCAACCTTTGCCCATGGTCTATACTCTTTTATTGATCAAACTTGCTTAATAAATACTACTTTCACTTGCCTTCAAAAAAAAAAAAATACTGCTTTCACTTTAAAATGACTCAATAAAGAAAGAATTTCTGTTCAGAAATGCCTCGCTTTCTTGCTCACTCTCGGATTTGGGTGGGATAGAATTGCTTGTCATATATGTCCATTGCCTTATCTGCACTGTAACGACACTGGCCCGATCCATTTGAATAAGTTTAAATAGATTGATTTGGTTACCTATGTCATTAAAGTGCACTTATTTTTTTGGTTACTGGTCCCGAGAGATCTCCACGGTTAAGGGTGCTTATGCTGGAGAAGAACTAGGATGGGTGACCTTTCGGGAAGTGATTCTCGAAACCATGTGAGTGAAGCCAAAACACGGGGAAAGATTATGTGGTGATTACAGGATCAGTAAATAAGTCGGTTAGGTCCGGGAAAAATAACGCACCGACCGTCAGACAGGGGCGGAGCCCACGAGCCCGACGGAAGAATGGGTGACTCACCGGAATGAGCGGTCGGGGCGTTACATGCACTGTCAATGATTCCAAAGTAACGGACAAGAGGTCATAAGACTTCTTCGTTTGGGGACTCATGAACATAATTAAAGCAATTGTAAAAACACCATGAGCAAAATGATTCTAGCTACCTTGAAACACAATTAGGAGCAGAGCATGCCTGTTGATCAAGCCTTTTCAAACACTTTCATCTTTCAACTTTCTAAAAAATGTGGTAACGTACAAATATAATATAATAAAATATGAAAATCTGCTTGAGTAAACATGAGTTCATATCACAGTTTCAGCCAACCCCATTTTATTGCTCTATATGATCTAAATATTATTAGATATAAGCTTAGAGCATTCACATTAAGAGCAAAACTACTCTGTAAAAGTGATTTTTTAGTGTGTGCAAATGACATCCAAATTTAAAGCTTCTAAGATGCTGAAGAGGAAACATACACATGTTCGGAACAATTGACTTCAGCATTAGGTCAAAAAAGGAAAACAAACACGAGCCTGTGAGTTCTTCTTCTTTCCTCTGTTAATGGATGTCTTCTTCTTCTTAGCAATAAGCCATGGAGTCTCTCTTCTCTTCACTAGTGTCAGACATTCCCGCCATTAGATTTATATGACGGTAAGGCTTACGGGCATAACAGACATTCACTATTAGATTCTGAAGAAAGTTTCAACAAGAAATGAAGAGAGTGGTAGATGATATTATAAACTTGTGAGATAGAATCCCTCAAGAACTGAACTCTGCGGTTAACGGTTTGCAAAAACAATGAAGTTTTCTTAAAAAGAAGTCCCAACAAAACAAACGGTAATATATTGGTGCAGGGATAAGTTAACTTATTTGCATTCCACATTCTATAGAAATGGTACGAGATGTTGAACTCGCCGAAAGAAAACTTTGAAAACCAATAGCCAATAGCAAATGCTGAAGGAGTGCCACCGGGAGTATACGTTGAGCTCCTTGTGTTTCCAGAACATCCGAAACTTGTCCAATTTTTTTACAAGAGTAAAATTTTATAATCAATACTATTTTCACTTAAAAAAAAACACAATAAACAAATATTTCTTGGGACACAGGAAAGTTATGTTTTCATGACAAAAGAGCAGAGTATTTTAAAAAAACTACAGAGTGGCTCGCATTTTGCTTACCAGTAATCATGATGTCGGATTGGATCATGGAAGGAGTCAAGGATACCATCGAGGGTGAAAGGTTTTGAGGTAGGCGGATACACCAGCAACGTGCGGACATGACATTGCAGTTCCAGCAAAAACAGAGTGCATCACATGCCTTGTGTCTGATTGGCTCAGTGCCTTGGTGGAGCACCAGGAAAGTAGCGAGGATCCCTGTTAAGACCATGAAAATCAATCAGAGGCGGATCTAGAACCATTTTGTATTGGGGGCACAATAGAATAACTGATAAAACTCTAGGTAATCCTTTTAATCAAACGGGGGCACTTCAAAGGAGAAACAAAGTTTTTGCCCATTAAATCACTAATGTTTAATGAGATTAGTAAGATCAATAAAATTATAAAAGGTGGGAATAAAAATCAGTCGGGGGCACGTGACCCCGTATACGTCAACGTGCGTCTGCCCCTGAAATCAATCACTTCTTATGTTGATACGTAAAATTTTATGATAATATATGGAAACAAATATATTATAGTTTGAATAAGAAAATTAATTATTTCTTACGTTGACCAATATATTTAATTTTAGATGCTCACCTTAATGCAAAGATATCTGACTGTAAAATTTATGGAAAACAGATATATCATGTGAGTTTGTTCTTCTTCATGAAGCCTAGCCAATCCAAAGTCAGATATCTTTACATTAAGGTCAGCATCTAAAATATAAAGACCAAAGAAAGACGAGCGTGTTTAATTTGGGAAAATTGCGAAAAGTATTACGTAAAATCTTATCTATAAAAGAATTAAATTTTATTAAAAACAACAACAAAAGATAACGCAATAAGCAAGCTGCTAATAGTTTAATCTCGGTGTTTAGTAGAACTAGAGTAGGTAAAGAAGACAGAAACATCATAAATTCAAAATAAAAAAAAATCATCATAAAAAACAAAAACGGCATGAACAGCAAGAATTAACAATCATAATCGTCTATAACATATAGAGACAGAAACTGTTTCTACCAAATCAGTTTGCGGCGTAAACAACGATGGGGCTCCTAACAAAGTGGAAGCCATCAGACCAGATCAGATGTGAAGACACAAGTTTTTCAGCTTCGGGGCCTTTGCCTGAAACGGTCACCGTGAAAGACTTCTTCTCGCGCAACGACTTAAAAGGCAAGACACCCGGAACAACCTTGACTTTGAGTGTAGATCCAACTATTTTTGCTTTGTAAGTAGTGTTAGACATTCCGACGTTCGTGACTCTCCTTCTGAAAGTAACTTTGAAGGGTGTTGTGGCCGGGACTTGAGCAGTCATGGAAGGATAGTTTAGGTTTCGGGGAAAAGATTTCGTCTGTTCCTTAGTACAATTGCTGCTACCACCGGATATGAGTCTTAAGTTCTTGCCGGTGTAGTTCAGGCCGCAGAGAAATGCAATGTGGTCGGATTTAATAGTTTCATAGACAAGTCCAGGATGAATTGCGGCTACCGGATCGACATGGCCCGCTCCGTAAGCAAACTCGGCCATCTCGTTGCTCGGAGAAGTAGATGCATTCATTGCCCAAGCTGCAAGAAACCCCCACAAAAAAAAATGCATTCTAAATATTTCTTGCGACAAAAGAAAGTGACAAAAGAGCAGAGTATTTTTACAAAACAGAGTGGATCGTATTTTGCTTACCGGTAGTCATGATGGCGGATTGAATCATGGAAGGAGACCAGCGAGGGTGAAAGGTTTTGAGGTAGGCGGCTACACCAGCAACGTGCGGACATGACATTGAAGTTCCAGCAAGAACAGAGTACTTCACATGTCTTGGGTCTGATTGACTCGGTTGAATATCAGGAGGATAAGCAGCGAGGATCTCTGATCCCGGCGCTGTTATATCCGGCTGCAGTTCAAATTCAGCATTCAATCAGACACAGAACTGTAAGATAGACTGATAAAGGTAATTCAGATCTTCAACGTTTCTATAAATACCTTTAAAATATCAGGAATGATTGTGTTGGGACCACGAGAAGAGTAGGAAGCAATCACAGGAGCTTTCTGGTTAAAGATCGTCTCACTTCTCAAAACAGCCGCTTTGGGAATTCTGGGCCAATAAAACAAAAGAAGTCACGTTTTTGAAATGGACAATTGTAAAGCGTGTGTAATGAAGCAAAGAGAAGAGCTTTACTTTGTGGAGTTCATATACGAGAGGACGACGTCATAGTCGGCTTTCGATAGAACAGAGACTGGGAAAGGAAATACAGACGCAACGTCCGCAGTGCTGCTCCTGACAATTGACGCAACGGCTCCCATATACATAGCTTCCTCAGGAGTACGCGCGGAATCGCACAGCACAATCTTTCCACTGACTCGTTTCCTGTCTAGACATCCTACTGAGCAGAACCTGAAACCGCAATTACCAATATTAAGTATTAACCCACTATGTGAAGAGCAAAGACGTTTGAAGATAAATGTTTCTTGTGACGGAAGTTACGTACCCAGCGGAAGCAGCATCGCAACGACTTGTAGCTGCTGATTCTCCGTACACTAGAGGATATTTTGTTCCATTAAGATCAAAAGAATTCACCGATCTTCCCTGTTTCGCAACAAGGATCAAAGTTATGAGAGAACAAGATTAGACGATTGATGTTATGTTTCAAAAAGAACAGTAAGGTGTTTCTTGGTACTCACGACAACTGTTGTGCCGTCTCCGAGAACAACTTTGGTGCGGAAAGCGCGGTTCGTATTACTAGCTGCAACGGTGAATATCCACGGGGCAATGCTCGCGACCGTCCTAACTTGTGGACCATCGTTTCCAGCGGAATTCACCGTAAGGATTCCCTTGGCCATGGCATGGAAAGCCCCGATAGCGATCGGGTCCATCTCGAACAGCATACCGTAATCGTTACCGATGGAGATGGTTACGACGTCGACGTTGTCACCTATCGCATCATCGAATGCGGATAGAATTCCGTCGCTATTGCACCCTGCGACGCCGGCCTCACATACTTTATAAACCGCTATTCTTGCGGCTGGAACGCCTCCTCTCGCGGTTCCATTGCCTAGTCCGTAAAAGCTCACGCCCTCCACAACGTTTCCAGCTGCCGTAGACGCTGTGTGCGAACCATGCCCCATGTTGTCCGTTGCCGATGGAGGATAATCACCTGTTTTTGGTGTGTAGTACCTAGCTCCAATAAGCTTGCTGTATACAACAAAACACATCATTCAAATTCAAATGACCAAATTGACAAATCTTTAAGCAATTTAATTGTGTGGCCAATATTATATATGAATGCATGGTTTCACTTTCATACTTGTTGCAAGAAAAGTTGTGGCCGCCTTCGCAAACACCTTTCCATTTCTTAGGAGGAGGACCAAAGCCTTTGCCACTGAAGCTGTCGGATTCCGGGTAGATTCCACTGTCGATGACACCGATGATCGTATTGCTCTCGATGATATGGTTTCGTTTTGCTCCTTTACCTTTCTTGAGACCCATGAAATCCCAAGACGCTGTCGTTTGGAGCTTCAGTTTCTTGCTAGGGAACACTGACACAACTTCATCCATACCTAAGAAAATGAATACGAATAAATGTTGGAATTACACACACACAAGGTGATTATAAGCAAATATATAGAATAGTAATTTGCATATGTATCAATATTTTTGAAATTTGTCAGGTCGTATAATCCTTCATTAGCACACTTACTAGCTAGAATCTCTCTTTCGGATTCAGTTAGCTGGGCCGCAAATCCATTGAAACTCCGTTTATAACTCCTAACCAATCTATTCTCTATGGAACTAACATAACAAACAAAAAATATTAATAATAAATACGTTATTTATATAGAATCTTTATCGATTTGTGACTTTAATCGATAAAAAGGAAACCTTATATACAAATAATCAAATCAGGATTGATGTAATAAATTTAATTAATCAATTACACTTATGGTCTTATGCAGTTAAAATAATAAGAATAATAATTAATTTCACCTCTCTCCGGTGACCTCTTGAAGAAGATTAGCGTGGTGGGACATTGGCATGTAGTCAGCACGAGTAGGAAGTGCACCCATGTATACTATATATACCTACAAAAATTATCATCATCACCATCATAATCATCAATTTATCATCATGATTTTTCATATAATTAACTCCATACTTATATAACAAAGAGATAATCGTAATAATTAACAAAGGATGATTTGGGAAATTACCTGTTTGTCTTGATCATCTTTGGCTGATGAGGCTAAACTCACAAACAAGGCAAAGAGACATGAGAGGAGACGATAGGAGCCTGCATGTTTTGCCATTTTTTGTAGAGAATATCTTTGATGAGAATGAATAAAGATTACTTATAGGGATAGATCATTTGTATGGGGTCTAAGAACCAAATCAAAGTCCTTAAATTTGGTTTCTCTGATTATTAATGTATTAATGGCAATATAATCTATTTTCCATATTTATGATTTTGATTGGAACGTTTAATTTGCTACCGTTTCTTATTCCACCATTCCACCATCAATTTTTGTTTTTGTTCATGAATATAGAAAGATATTTAATAGAAAGAACCTCCATTTGACTATAGATAGATATTCTCGTTCATAGGTAAATTCATTTTAATCCTTGTGAAAAAAATGAAGAAAACAAGTTGACAAAAACAAAAAATCATATATACGAATAGGGAAGTGCCATTTCCAGCATTCCGCCACGTCAGCATTTTAGATTAATTTAGAAGTGACAAGTGGCTAAATAAAATTAAAACAATCCAATAAATAATTATCATTAAATAAATTTAATTACTTAGATATAAAACTGTATTTTGAGAATATGAAACATCTATTTATTTATGATTTTAAATGATAAAACTAAATTGAATTTGAACTAAAAGTAATTCAAGATATAAAGAAATCAGAGAAAACTATTTCTTTGTATTGTGAAAAATGAAAAAAGATTTTTCAAAGCAAATTTTAGCAAAAAAAAAAAGAAAACTGACAATGGTGGTGGAACTCTGACGACGAATGAACCGATTACATAACAAATAGATATTTATTTAAAAATAGGATATAGTTGTAATTTGACCATAAAAAGAATATACAGAAAGAAAAAAAACTATTATTTGCATGATATGTGTAATAATTCTTTTTAATGGTATTTTAAAGTTAAATAAAAAAGTAATAATTATTAAAACAAGATCATAATTATGTTTGATAGGTCTCTCCAAAAATAGTGTATAATGTTATAAATTAATTGATAACATAAATTAAAATATACAAAATATAGCTTTATACAAGATAGAAAAAAAAAACTTAATTATTATTTACGAAGTAATATTGTTTGTGAGAACATTACGGATTTTTTACGGGGATGTGTGTGTTCGTCCGAGTAGTACAACTGAGCCTCTTAGATTAGGTCTCGAGGGTTCAGCGGTATACACTCCGTGGACAAGAAATTTTTTAGGTCCTACAAACATTCACAGCAGGTGAATCGGGCCTTTAGGAGACTGAAAATGGATTTCCCTCCCGAAAGTTCTCTGATGCTTAATTTAGATTACATCCCGCGGTGAACAGATAATCAGGAAGGTGGATGGATGGTGATGGATTTATAGTTTGGATACCCCGTCTGAGGATCGTGATACTCTTCTGTCATTGGTAAAAGGGAATGTGAAATGTATGAACCATTGAGAGAGTGAGGGTGGAGCTCTCTCTTAATGGGATAGAGAAGTGAATGCTTATCTCAATTAGCGCTCCTTTGGGGGAATATTAGAGGATCTTCAGCCTCTCGCCTCTGGGGGATGCTTGGGGGATCTTCGAGAGATCTTCGGCCTTTCTTCTCCTCTTTGACCTCTTCTTCTTTCCTTATACTCATTTTCCTCTGATCTGTTCCGTCTGAGACACGCTTAGAGAGAGTAGCTATGCTACCACAACACACTCATTGGAAAATCCGTCATATATCGAGGAACATTTAGGTAGTAAGTCGTTAGACAAGCATATACACCAAGTTCATCATTTCGGCCAAACCTACTATCGGCGTATCATTCACTTATATGGTACGGTAAAATTGAATCCAATAAATATATTATATTTGAAAAGTTTTATATGTATGAAATTCACATAAATATATTTTGTTTATAACAAAATACATTTTATTTAAAAAAACCCGCACGTACGTACGAGTATTAGTCTAGTATAAGTGAAACATAAGCAGAACATAATCAAAATATAAGAAACAAAAATATAAATATAAATTATCGGTTTAAACTTAAAATTTGAGATATATTAAGATATTAGTAAATGATAATTAGTTTACTAACTAATGAGAGGATCCACCTTATAAGCCTTGTTTGTGCTACAGAAACAAGAAAGAAAGACATAAGAAGAAGAAACGTGATCATGCAAACTAATCCAAGTTTTTGGTGCTTCTTCTAGAGAACTCAGACTCAATTTTTGGCGGAAACAACTCTATACACAAAGCTATCACAGTTTTTTATTGATAATTTTTTTTTTTTTTTTGGTAATAAAATATTTTATTTTATTGATAACTTGTGTAGAAGAGACTACACAATTAAAACCTAACCAAATAGCATACCGGAATCATCGTAGAGTCGTCGGAGTGTGCCAGGGGAGCCGCCTACGGGAGAGGAGCCGAGAAGAATAACGCCATCGATGTCGAAAGCAATGCCATATGATGACGAGCTGTGTTCTCGTCAGAATCAGGAAGAGAGAGAGAGAGAGAGAGAGAGAGAGAGAGAGAGAGAGAGAGAGAGAGAGAGAGAGCATAAAGAGTGATTCGCCGGAGACTATTTTAGAGAAGGGAAGTAGCAGCGGGAGAAGGGAGACGTGATCTTGCAAACGTGATCTTGGTTTTTCTAAGTTAAATTGGTCATGCAAACTAATCCAAGTTTTTTAAAGATTAGTTAAAATTTATCCAATTTTTAAAGTTTAGGAGAACATGCAACGGTAGATTACACTGTCGACAACACCGATGATCGTATCGCTCTCGATGCTATGCTAGGGTTTCGTTTTGCCCTTTTGCCTTCCTTGAGGCCCATGAAATTCCAAGACGCCATCGTTTGAAGCTGATTATATCGTGTTCGGAAACATGGACACAACTCCTTCCACACCTAATACATAATTAAAGAATACTAGTTTTAGTTTCAATGAATATTAGAATATGTTCAGGTCGTGTGATTGGCACTTACTTGTTACTTATTCTCTTCCGGATTCAGTTTCATTGCGTTCTTAGACTCCATGCATCAACAAAAAAATTTGGCAAAGCATGCAGGCTCTCGCCGTCTCCTCTCATGCTAATAGAAAGAACCTCCAATATTTGACTACATCTATTTCTATTCTCGTTTTTGTTCATGAACGTTTTTGATTGTCAAAGATTCAAGAATGTTGTGTACAATTATTTAGGGAAATTTCTTAAAATTATATTCTGATTTCGGTTTATTGTGGCAGCCTAATCATGTGACCATTTGAGGCAGTTAGTAATCTGACCTTACATGAATGAACAAGTTAATAAGTTATCCTCACGCCGTCACGCGAATATTTTGTTTTTTATTATTTCTAATTACTTTACCTGTATTCGCGAGATGTAAGTTATATCCATCGAGACATTTTTATTCTCTCCAGAAGGATAACAAAATTATATCAAAAACTTAATCAAATTTTATAAATCGGATCCACAACAAATTGAAAATCAAAAAAAAAATATTCAGTTCATACATTTCTAAACTTTCTATCCGAATTTTCTAAAACAAAAAAACATCAAACCAAAACAGATTGAAAATCAGAATGTGGATTCAATTTGAATTCATTTTTGGTTTTTGATTTGCTTCGGTTCAATTTTATTTTCAGCAATGGTTTAATTTTCTCACAACTACAATTTCTCATTGTATAATGAAAATACAATAAAACCTCTATAAATTAATACTCGATTCATTAATATTATTGTGAATTCTAAAATTAGTTTTATAACCAAATAATATATATTTAATTTTATAATCATTATAAATTAATAATTTTTATAAAAATTTAAAATTTCAACATTATTAATTTATAAAAAAATTACTGTAGATATCACAAAAAAGTATTACCAATTACCATTTTACCATTACCATTGCCACACCCACAAAACAATCATTGCCATATGCAAATTATAAAATTTAAAGTCCTTAAAACTCCTATAATACCCTCTGGAACATGCTCTTACTTTTTGCCAGCCTGCTTGCGAATCATTCCCTGCCACATCAGCACCGTAATTGGAGCCTTTTGTCCTTTTCTGAAACACGACGTCGTTTCTGTCCCCTGACACAAAATGCCTGTATATAGAGAGATACGTACACCACGCGTATATACACACGTATATATTTACTTTATTGCTTCCTCCTCTCTCTCTCTCGAAGAAGCCCCAACAAAATTAAACAGTTCGTCAGAATTTTCCATTTTCCACCATTGATCGAGAGAGAGAACAACATTCGTAGATTGTTACAAAAGCAACCAAAATCCCCTCCCAGTAAAAGTTTCTTCCTTCGCAGATCTGAAGCGAAGTCGTTGAAATTCGATTTCTCGATTCATCCGCCGGCGAAAGGGGTACGCGATCGTTCTTTTTTCTCAGTTGGTCTCGTCTTAATTTCGTTGGATCTGTCGAGTGTTATTTTTTCTAACGATTTGGGACACGACGGTTCTGATTCTGGAATTTTGTCGTCGTGTAGGTTGATTGCGAGATCGGGGGAAAAAAATGGCGCATAGGGTAGATCAGGAGTACGATTATTTGTTTAAGATCGTGTTGATTGGTGATTCCGGTGTTGGGAAATCGAACATTTTGTCGAGATTCACCAGGAATGAGTTTTGCTTGGAGTCCAAATCCACCATCGGTGTCGAATTCGCCACCAGAACTACTCAGGTGATGATGATTCCAACTTTTTCCTCTTCGATTCTCTTAAATTTACTTCCTATCGTTTGTTAGAATCAGAGAAAGTTTGAGAGATGATGTTCTGTATATGTCTATAGCAGAGATTGTAGAAACCTAACGAGACAGTGACACAAAACATATCTAGCTGCGATATGCTTACATTCTTCAATTATGCTTTTTGAGCTTCATGATCTCGTTAGTGTAGTGTATATAATTCAGGTCTTCGATTAGTTGTTTTCAAGCGGTGGCTACTTTAGTCTGTTTAAGTTTCTTTGAAGTTGCATCCTCATTAGTCTGTTGATTGAGGTGTTTTGGGGGCAGTCTTAAGGAACACACCATAAACTTATGTGGGTTCAATGTATGAGAGTATACTTCCTTCAGGTACTGGATGAAGTCGATTTGTTCTCTTGTCTTGTTTATAGACTTTAGAGTATATTTTTTTATCAAGAGAGAATCTTAAATGTGTTGGACATAATTCATGAATAAGACTATAATGGAATGGTCGTGAGGGCTAATTGATTAATAAAGAAGATTCTCACAACTTGTCCTCAATAATTCGTTGTATCTCCTGATTATTTTTGTCATTTGTCATGCATGACCTAGTCCACCTTTTAAACCCTCTTGAAGTCAAACAATTATATTACAAGAAAGAGTTCTTATGATAACATAGATTATACACTTAAGTAGTTGCATACACGGAGAAATGTATTGAAAATGTTGATGATTAATGTAACAAAGATTATTTTAACAAATGGGGATCCTATTTTGTCAAAGCGTAGATATATACGCTCTTAGCTTTTGGTTGTTGAAACATTACCAATCTTGTTCCTAATATGGGGATGCTTCAGCTCTTGAGATCTAACTCGTTGTTACTGTGAATCTCTGTGATTGTATTACGGATACACAGGTAGAAGGAAAGACGATCAAGGCTCAGATCTGGGACACTGCAGGTCAGGAGAGGTACAGGGCCATCACCAGCGCTTACTACAGAGGCGCAGTGGGTGCACTTCTTGTCTACGACATCACCAAGAGGCAGACCTTTGACAATGTCCTGAGGTGGCTGCGCGAGTTAAGAGACCACGCGGATTCCAACATTGTGATCATGATGGCTGGGAACAAATCCGACCTGAACCACTTGAGATCCGTTGCTGAGGAAGATGGGCAGAGCTTGGCTGAGAAGGAAGGTCTCTCTTTCCTGGAGACATCTGCTCTTGAAGCAACAAACGTTGAGAAAGCGTTTCAGACCATCTTAGGTGAGATCTACCATATCATTAGCAAAAAGGCACTGGCTGCACAAGAAGCAGCCGCCGCTAATTCCGCGATTCCGGGACAGGGAACTACGATCAACGTTGATGACACATCTGGAGGCGCGAAGCGAGCGTGTTGCTCTTCTTAAACTAAAGGTAAACTGGGTTTTTCGCGTGTTCACTATTCAAAGATTCAAACTTCTGTTTTCAATGGCTTCTCTTCTTTTCAAGTTTTGGCTGATGAAACGTAACTATGCATATGCAAGACTATGTAGAATACTTATGTCCATTTACTCTGTTTCTTTGCTCTTTGGTTTGGGTTTGTGTTCAGTTAAAGCTTGTGTGAGATTCTTTTAGTCAGTAAAGCTTGTTAGTAAGTAAGTCTACTGGTGCTTTGTTCTCTTCTCTTCATTTCTGGTTTATAAGTATCCTCGCACCGGTTTAGGTCGGTTTGTCTTGTCTTGTTTTAATCGAATCATTGGTTCTCGCCTTCTTGGCTCGGTTAAATGGAATCATTTGTTCATTTCTAATTAATGTGGTATCCACATTCAAAATCCTTCGTCATGTTATACAGACTGAGAGAGGCTTCTACTAATAAATAAAATTTTGGTTTTATTAGAAAAAAAAGTTTTGTATCATCTTAAATATTTTGTAACCGGGAATTTGGAAAAAACCACGATACAAAGCAAACTTTTACTAAATTTATGATGAATTCGGAAATAAAGAGCCAATTGTTGACCAAATTATTTTTCTTTTCATATAATACAAACTAGGTGTCTCGTCTGCGCCATGCGCGGACCGAATTGCATAATAAATTATTATTATGAGTAATATTAGATAGGTTCATAAATACCACGAAACAGAATGGAGCAGTTCTATAAATCGAGTAATATATTTTGAAATAAAAATGGGAAACATGCATTCTCATTACTGTTCATTCGATACAGATTTTGCAGTCGATGCCTCTTCACCACATCGTAACCTGCAATAAAAAATAGTGATATGTATTAACATTTAAATAGTAGTAAACTAAACTGTTTTATTCAGCTTAATGCGTCGTTACCTATCTCGGAAACGATAAACATCAGGAACATCGGCATTGAAATAGAACTCACAATATTTCTTCATTGCGATAACATTCATAATACCTAAACCAAAAGAAAATAAGATCACAAGACTACACAAACGAACCAACAAACATAATTTGGTGTATTATATTATTCATAATACCTTCATATTGTTTGTTGATGTACCACCCTCAACACACAAATAACTTCTTCATCACAGTTCTGAGACCATTTCAAGGTAAACTCTTCAGCTAGTTGTCCCATCGCGCAACATTCAATTACACGTTTCCTATTAAAAAAGGCGTTATAGAATATCAATTAATCGTAAAAAAAAGGCGTTATAGAATATCAATTAATCGTTATTACAATGTGAAAAATAAGAAACTTACTTGTCATCTTGCAGATCGAAAGGGATCATAGCGTAATCATCTTGTATTTTACTTTCATCAAAAATCTCTAACTCTCCGACATTTTTAAGAACACCAATTAAATCTAGTAAACAACAACACAAAATAACAAAACTCTTATTGCATTCCTTTAGTAAAAAAAAAACCAATAATATTCACTGTATAAAAATTTTACCGATAGCATAAGTGGCATCCATTCGACTTCCAATAACATCCCCAAAATCAACCAATTTCAACAATAAACCATCATCGGGACCAGACACAGAAATAAATCTAGTGTTAGTAACAAACTTCAGCTTGAAAGGATGCCTTGCTATACGAATGAAAGCATTGGAAGTTTTAACTATAAAACCACTTAAGAGCTCCCACTTTCCTTCGATAAGGTCGTCTTCAAACAAATGAAGGTATTTGTTTCCAATCGAAGCTTGTATCATCGACCCCTATAAATACTTTAGTCATTACAATTGTACATAAATTAAACATAAGAAACAAGAATCAAATTTAAAGCAAGAGTGAATGAACTTACATGCATGTCAACGAATATCATCTTTAGTTTAGGCCGACGGTTCCTATCTTTGGCACGCCATTTTTTTAACGGTTTAATTTCAACAGATGGATTGACAACATAAGCGTCTATCTCAGAGACATTCAAGAACCCCATCGCAATAGAAACGCCAAAACAACCAAATTTTAAACTAAAAACTCTCGTTAAATGAAACAAGAAACATAGAGTGTATCGACAATTATAATATTAATATCTAGTTTTCTTGGGCGTAGTGTCGATACTGATTAGTTATATCTATAGGTAAACAGTTCCATGGAAATTATTTAAATAATAAAAGCCAGGTATGTTTCATATATTCAAAAACCAATATATAATAATTACTTTATAAATATAATCAGAATAATAAACACGCAACAAAAACCAAAACTGAGACTAAGGACCAAACCAAGAGACATTCAAGAACCCCATCGCAATAGAAACGCCAAAACAACCAAAATTTAAACTAAAAACTCTCGTTAAATGAAACAAGAAATATAGAGTGTATCGACGATTACAATATTAATATCTAGTTTTCTTGGGCGTAGTGTCGATGCTGATTAGCTATATCTATAAGCAAACAGTTCCATGGAAAATTATTTAAATAATAAAAGCCAGGTATGTTTCATATATTCAAAAACTAATATATAATAATTAGTTCATAAATATAAACAGAATAATAAACACGCAACAAAAACCAAAACCGAGACTAAGGACCAAACCAAAACGACGAAAACCCATAACCAAAACAAACCTAAAGCCCAAAACAGTTTCAAAGCAATTTCAATGTGCAGAATAAAAACCAAAAACCTAAATGTTCTCAAACACTTCCTTGTAGACAACGTTAAGAGTATGTTTCTTTGGTTTTCCAGCTTTGTCAGTTACCAAGATCTTCAAACCGGTGCGTGATGTTACTCTGGAGACAGCGACGTATAGCTGACCATGGGAAAACACCGGTCTTGGTAAAAAAATACCAACTTTTTGTAAAGTCTGGCCCTGACTCTTATTTATAGTCATCGCAAAAGCAACAGCAACAGGAAACTGTCGACGACGCATCCTAAATGGAAACCTAGTCTCAGGTGGCAAAACAAACATCCTTGGAATCAATACTTTCTGTCCAACCCTATCCCATGTGATAAGTTTAGCTTCGATCACATGCGCAGCGAGCTGCGTTACAAGTAACCTCGTTCTGTTGCACAAACCACCACGAGGATCAATATTCTTTAGCAACGTAATAGGAGTCCCTATCTTCAAATTTAGATCATGATTGGGCAAACCAGAAACTTTTATGCTATTGAGATATTCTTGGGTGTAAACCATATCGTCATTTTTACTTGTGTCCGACGTATCAGTACTATCCGAACTAAGGTACGAACGCTCATCGCCTATAACAAAACAATAAACGAAATTAATCGATAGCACGTTAACTAAACCAAACTATATAGGAAACAATAAACGTTACCTATTACGCGAGATAACATATACTCATTTATAACATCGACGTCAGAATTTCTTGGACTCAAAATAGCTTGCCCCTGAAAAAATAACGGATCTCGCTCTCTTGAATACGAATGGCCATACACTTCTACGATAATTTTCTCCATAGGATCTCCACTCCCGGTTATCAGCAAATCATCTGGTATATCTATCTCAACCTCTCCAGTGTTAGGTTCGTTGATCTTTCCGTCGCCTATATCAAGGATCCATTTTGAAAAAGACTTCAGTTCTTTGGCATTATTTGCATCAACACCGCGAAGAAGGCGCATATTCGTGGTAAGCTTCAAAACCGTACAATTGCTCCACAACGCCGAAGAGTTCAGAGAGGACATGACGGTTTCAGCTCGATTACCACCAACAATCACAGGAAATATCTGTCTAAAATCTCCACCGAACACAACAACTTTACCACCAAACACTCTGTCACATTTCAAAATATCCCTCATTGTTCTGTCCAACGTCTCAAAACAATGTTTGCTCATCATCGGCCCCTCATCCCAAATAATCAGTTTGGCTTCCTTGATCAATTCCGCCTGATGTGATCCTGCAGTAATTGAACATGTTGTAAACTCGTTAACAGCTATTGGAATGCCAAACCTAGAATGAGCAGTCCTCCCTCCTTGAAGCAACAAAGAGACAATCCCACTCGATGCCACGTTTAAGACGATGTCACCTCTAGAGCGAATATCAGTTCCCAATATACTCCACAAAAACGTTTTGCCAGTACCACCAAAACCGCAAACAAAAAACATACCACCCTCGTCATGATCAACAATGTATATAATCTTGTTGTAAACCATTCTCTGTTCATCTGTTATGGTTGCCATAAACTTGTATGCTCGGTCTTGAGTTGATCTCTATTATAATTGCGCTCGTCCATTAAAAGATAATTGACAGACTTATCCATGTCATCGTCCACAGCATGAGGCATCTTATCGTAATTGGTCAACGAATTCCCATTTCGACGAAGGTATTTCTCTATTTTGGAAAGTGCACACATCTTCAGATCATCATCGGTCATAGTGAAATCTACACAACACGAAACAAATATCAGTCCATATTCACTGATTCAGCATTACAACGATATATATAAATCAAAGAAATGATTTACTTGGGTTATCTGATTTTTTTTTTTAGCATATACAATATATCCTCGCTCAGGATATGCCATGTCTTGTTCCACACGTTAACAGGCTCGAAAATGCTATTAGACAGCAACATAATAGCAAACAGCCTACACAAATATTTTCCTGAGCCCCAAAAACTCGCTTCTTCGATAGCCGAAATATACTCTTTATCATCGTCCAACAATCCCAAGGCGTAGCAAGCTTCCTTGTACGAATCGTAAACAACACCTCTAACTGTTCGTATATCCTCATAACTCTTCGGGCATTTAACAATGTTCAGCAAAACACGCATGTAGTAACACTGAACATAATTGGGAGGAACGTACGTAATTCTTCCAATGGCAAAGCCTCGTTCGCGTAACTTCCACTCCCTAGTCCTTTGTACCCAAACGAACTTTGTCGGGGAATCAGCATAAGTCAACTCTTTTGCCTCTGGAAATTTACTATTTGCTTCCATCCAAGCCATAAACTTAGACCGAGTCATAGACGCACGATTTATAACATCATCTATAGAATCATCTTCGTTATAAACAGCCATTTGCTGTCCCGGTAAGTGGAATGAGAGATTGACAACAGTAGTCGAGCGAAAATGAGTTGGGAAAGCTAATATTCTCCAGGTTGCTTCGCATGCTGAGATATATCTGAAAAAAAAAAAAAAAATCTCAATAACATATCATATGCAGAGGTAAATTGTCTAAATTCCATTCTATAAACAAACAATAAATCACGTAACTAATACAGACAAACCTACAGCTGAGAAACTTTTTTACTTCATTATCAACAATATCATCTTGTTCAACATAAGCACCAACATAATTAGGACCCTTGGTAATATACTTAAATAGATACTTGATTGACCTCGTTTGGTTGCACCATTCAACATTTATATGGGCTCGGGAACGCCT